AAGGATTTCCTTAATGAAATGAGCCATTAGCCCACATTAAAATATGAATGTGAATTATATGCAGATCAGGAGAAAAATATTTTATCTTCATTAAAAATTGCAATGTCAAGGATATAATGCTCATCAAAGTTTGATTTATTTCTTGATGCATGGAAAACCTGTAACAGTTTCAGGTCTTCAAGAGCAAAGTAAGGTCAAATTCATTCCTGTGTTGAAGTAAATAAACAAGGGCAAGATAAAAATTGCCGACTCTTGCCCTCTTTAGTTCTCCTTAAAGCAAATGTGACCCAGGTAACAGGGACAAGCAGCAGCTGCCAACGTCCAGCAGGAGTAACAGAGCTGGAGGAAAGTTATGCTGATGGAATCATACAAAGTACTAACATTTCTGATTTCTGTCTGACTGCATAGTTTTGATAGCATCTATTTACTTTTTCTATATTAAAATAAAAAGAATCAACACTATAAGAATACTGAGGCTTAAAACTGTAACAGAGAATACATCTGAAAACGTGTTTCCCTATCAGTATCAAGTCCTTAGGAAGAAAACTTAGATTTCTTTGGATGATGACTTCAGGTATAGATGTTAGAAACATTGATAAAAAGAGTAATAACTACTGTTTAGTAAGTCTATATGACAAGCACTAGCTTAAACCCTTCATAAACCATATTGAACATATTTTCCACAAGACCTATACTGAGGTATTATGATCCTGGTTTTACAGATGAAAAAGGGAAGACCCAGAGAAGTTAAGAAACTTGCACATGATCATACAGTTGGTGGAGGAGATCAGACTCATCTGGTTTAAATAAAGCTTCTGATCTTAGTAAGTTCATTATGCTCATTACTTTAACATACTCTGCCAACTGAGTTTGGGGTTTGCACTGGTCTATTATACTGTCTACTCTGTTGGCCCACTGTTAGATCTGGCTGGCTGACTGTAGCCATTTAATTATCACTGGCACATTTAGAAGAAGATAGGATAACAAAGAAGATGGCAATTGAAACTCACACTATATGCAGTGAATAAGGGAACAATGCTTTAAAAAGGTTAAGACTATACATGTCATTGGTCTCCTATTTGTTTTCCAAATAACTAAGACTTTGTCCTATCATAAATATGTGACCGGCAATGCAAAACACCATCTGTGGTACGAAAGTATCTACAAGGGCATGCCCAAGAGATGCTGACTTTGCTAAACTATCCCTTGAAGTGAGAGATGACTCTAACGTCACTCTAAGGTTTCATCACATGGAACATTAAGCAATGCTAGAAGGCATCACCCAAAAACCTGATTTACAGATGTCACCCCTGGAAGGGATCTGATATCAGAGCCCTTTTGCTCACTCTGCTTAGTTCTTTGCTATTAGTTCATGCTGAGGATTTAGCTTTGAGTAACTGAGTAACTGAATTTTCATCACAAGAACTTAAAGCATTTAATGCGGGGAAAAAAAGAACAGGAAGGGAAATTCTACATTTTACTGTCATACACTAGAATTAGGTTTCCATTACTATTTCCTTGATATTTTAAATAATTTTCCGCCAAATCTAGCTAGGACCAACATGAGTTTTTGAAATATACCTTTTATTCTTATTGCTATTCATTTGTAAAACTACATTTAGAAAAATAATAATGAAAGGTTGAAATCAATTATCTATTAACTAATAAGTACGTCTGTATTCAAATATGCTGCACTAAAGTGGCAAATGTTTGCTAAACAATAAAATTCATTAAAAAATTTTAGTTTAGAAAAAACAATGAAAAGTGTGCTTATATTTGGGATAACAGAGGAGATACCGATTTAAATAAGGCTGTAGAAAAGCATTAATTTTTAGAAGTCCCTTAAATGTTTCAGTCACTTTAAACTTCAATTTTATTTTTTAAGGGCATAGGAATCATCATATATTTTCAACAGAAATTTTTATTTAAGTTTCCAGCTGAGGAGTGTGACATTGGAGAGAATAATCCAAAATTAAAATCATTTGTATTTTTCCTACTTATTATTATTATTCTGCAGAATAGAAGCAATATTAGGTTCCCCAATTAGGAAAAGATTATTTACCATTTATGACTGCTGTTTGCAAGTTACAGGAACCAGAAATTCTAAACATTTACCACATCTTATACTTCAATCTCAAAAAGCTGGTGTAATGGCTTAGATGTAGACTCTGCGCATACTCGCCCTGCATGTGCAAGGTCCGCTGCGGCATGAATGCTCTTGGAAGCCAGTGTGTCTGCCAAACGTGTTTTGTAAAGAGCTATCTATGAAAAAATGCTTGTTCATTTAAATAGCTGGTAATTCCCTCTCCTGAGGGCCATTTTAAAATCTCATTTCTTCTCTTCCTTTCTCTATAAAGTGTATGGAAACGTGAGGAGCAGCTGATGACAGAGCAGACTTGAGTGAAAAAGCCCATCATGTGTGGCCAGTCTGTGGGAGTTTCTGACACTGGGAGGGGGTTCCTTCAATTTTTTTTCTTTCTTGATGTGTATTTATTAGTGTAGCATATCATGCAATCCAGTTTAACTTCTCCAGGACAATTATGATTTTATTCAGGTTGACACTTGCAATGGAATTACAAATTAAGTTTAAAAAGCATTGTAAAGATGATGGTTGGGCTTTATTTGTACTGACTGATAGGGAGATCAGTTGGGTGGGCAGGCACAGAGAGAGAGGGTGGGGGTGGAGAGAAGGGCTCAGGTCTGATTTATGTATTGCTCTTGAACCTTACCTGGCTAGCTGCTGCTGAGAGAAATCAAGCTGGCCCCAATAGAGCTGGTCAGTGAAATGGTGTGCATGGGCTATGCAGAGTTCTCTGGCACCAGAAAAATTTTACTTTCTTCATATGACCATGTTGGGGAGGATATTCATAACCATTTCCCCCACCCTCTTCCCCAACACTTTTCATCTGTAAGAAGAGCTGTCTGAAGATCTTAATATAGGTGAAGAAAATAATACGTGCTGTTTTGCTTAATGTAGCAAAGATACTGACTACGTACTAAACATTTACCATAACAGGTTATTTGCTGAGTACATTTCCACAGCTCATAATTTCAACACCCTGCAACTTAGACGTTATGATTGCTAAATTCTACGTGAGGAAATTGAGTCGTAGAAAGAAAATAATCTGCCCAGGTTGAGAGCCTGTAAGTGGCAGAACCAGGATCATCCCTAACTTCTACCTGATCTGATTCTGAAGTTCTGCTCTTTTTTAAAAAACAATTTATTAAACAAGCCGTATCCTTATTAGAAGTATGTTTATACTTTGCATTCCATTTTTAAATTCTGCCTCCCTTTTCAAAAACACGTTACTTTTCAAATTAACAGGAACTACTGTAAGAGTAAGACACGACAGGGTGTTTATGGTTGCTGCTTCTTGGGAGGTTGTGGCGCGCGGCCTTATGATTAAACTTCAGCAGAATATGGCACGGTCCCAGTGTGACACATCTAAATGTGTTTTATGGTTTGAAGCAAGAATTATCAAGGCTTTGCAAAACTTAAGAACTTGTGCAAGACCTGGATAGTGAAAATATAGATTCAACTCTTTTAAAGCATAAAGGTATTACCTAACATGCAGTGTTCACAAAACTGAATCATTCAAAATCTTTGAAACAAGAAGCTAAACGAATTCTCCCCTGCAATGACATCAGCAGCTAGAAATATAGCAACATCATAGCACTGTGAAAGTTTAAACAATTATTTCTCCTAAGGCCTCTGGGAATAGTATTTTAACCATTTGCTAAAACCAAAAGATGAAGAAGATACAAAATTGAGATTAAGTTTTTGATAATTAGTGAATCTCAAAGGGAAAAGAAGAGCAATGATGGGAGACAGATAGGAACCAGAAGTAGACACCCTTGAATGCTGAATGTTAATTCTGATGGAAAACCAGGAAATACAGGCCAATTTTCAGAGTGGGCTGGTATCAGCAACTGTGCTGTGAATACTATGTGTATAATTATAAGTTCTTAGAAGAGAGAATTATATTTGTAAAATTGTTTTACATAGAACTTAGCTTAACACTATTTGCATAAAATGGAAAACACTATGATGATCATATATAAATTAGGTAGCTAGGATTTTAGGACACACGGGAGCAGGTAAAAAAATTTAGGCTCATATACCTAAGCAGACAAAGATGTTGTTTTTCTAAAATCTGCCTCATTTGAATATTATATAAAAGGCAGATAAAAAATATGAACTCGAGGTTGCATTCAAAAACAGATCGCAAGAGATAGTAATCTCCCTAGCCTCGCCCTGAAGGAAAGCAGGATACGAATACTTCAAGAGCATATATTGGCCCTGAGCACCGAAACACTGTTCATACTTGCCTAACATGGATTTTTTTTTTTTTGGCAACACAAAGTCCAATGTGTTTTTTAAAATACTATTTTCATAGTTTTTTTTTTTTCTCTAGGCAAAAATATCAAAGAGAGACAGAAAATGATCTCAGGAAAAAAAGAAAACCCCAGGAAGAAATCTGTCATGTTCTGTGTTTCAACTTCACAAAAGAATTCTGACTGGAGGTTTGAGCCTTTCAAATCTCTTGCCATTCGGGATATGAAATTCTTATCTAGTGGCGTGGCCAGTTGAGACTCACTTAATCAAATATGCTGACTACCTGAAACAGGAGGTGGTTCACTTCCTGACTTCAGGTGGCTCCTCACTTGCAAATTATGACAGTCACTTGCTGTGTAAGCTATGAAAATTCCAAGGTAAGGGAGGAGACTCAGTGGGCACCTAGCTGAGTTTTACTAGATGAAAAGTTACAGCACCCTGCCTCACCTGAGCCTCCTCTGTCTTTAGGGATCATTGAATTTTATATAAAGTCTATTTATAAACCACTGCAAGTGATATTTGCATTCGCCTTGCCCTGTGACATCATTTCCTCATCAATAATTTAAGCCTAAGAAATGGATTAAAGGGACTGTGAAGGGACATTGCAAACATGGAAAATGAGAAAGCAACTAAACTCTCCCAAGTATTAATTCAGTCCTTTTACCTTGTTCTTTGATCTGGCGAATTTGCTTCACAGTTTCTTTTAAGATTGCACATTTGTCAGGTTTGAAGTTAAAGTTGTCTATATCGTTAAAATTTGCAAAAATCAGCTCTGCAAGTTCTTCAATATACTTATTTTCCTGTTCACGATTACGTTTCTCAGTGCTCCTCTTGGGGCTAAAAAAGAACGAAGATGTTTTTATTATGAATTTGAAAAAGAGTTGTTATGAAAAAATAAGCATGTTAAACAAGTTCTAATACAAAGAGTACAAACAAGAGTTACTTAATACACACATAAACATAGTTGACCCTTGAACCACATGGGGATGAGGAGTGCCGAGCCCCTGCACAGCTGAAAATCTGGGTATAACTTCTGACTCCCCCAAAACTTAACTACTGATAGCCTATCACAACGAGAGCCTTACTGATAATATAAACACTCAATGAGCACATATTTGGTATATGTATTACATACTATATTTGTATAATAACTAGGGAAGAAATGTTCTTTCAAATTGTCACCAATCTCAAAAAAGTTACAGTCGATTTCTTGAAAGAAATCTGAGTTTAAGTGGATCCATGCAGTTCAAATCTGTGTTCACGGGTCAACTGCACTTTGTGGGGAAAAAACTGAATTTGCCCTAAATGTATCATGTTTTTTGGAAATCAAACTTACCCCAGGCTGCAATTACATATTTACTATTATATTTGTTCAATGTGCTTAATGTTTCCCACTGAACTCTCAGCTTCACAGTGACAATGGTCAAGACGATTTGCTCACCACTGTGCTTAAAACAATGCATGTCTCAAGTGGCCATTGTATTTATTGTTGACTAAATAAAGGAATGTTTTAGAAAAAGGGGTGAAACATTTATAAAAAGTTTTTAATTTATATTGGACTAGTAAAAGAAGAAAGGGATGTTAACTAGTTACAATGGTAATAAATTCCAATGATTTTTGGTAAAGCATTTTGGTAAAGCAAAAATAATGAAAATAAATTATTATAATTTCAGAGACTTCTTCAGGATGTCAGTGATCATACCAAAAAACAGCCTTTTTAGATAATGCAAAAAAAACAAAAACAAAAAAACCAAACACAAAGAACAGCTAGAAACAAAAGCGAAACTGCTCTAGGGTATTTGTTAACTGTCTAAGCTGAATGACATGCAAAATATAAACAAATAGTCTAAGTTCAACTAAAGTTTTAAAAAGTTAATGGAAGAGAGGAAAAAATAAAAATTGGCAAGATGTTGCCATCTGAATTTGATAAAACAGCAAACTCAAAAGTCCCCCTTGATAATAACTATATGCACAATTGTTCACTGAAGTATGGTAGAGGGCTTACTAAATGACATTCAAACAATACAATAAATAACTTATTCAATGTAGCAGCTTTCTGTATTTTAAATAGTTACTTGTGTATAATACCAACTTATTCAATTCTGTAATTTGTAATAGACTACCACATATTTGCCTCTAAATATTAGTTTTGTTTTCATAAACTAATAAACCTTAGAACATAATTCCTCCATTTTATATGATTTGTCCAAGATTACCCAGTGAGTTACTCGCAGAGCAGGGACCAGAATTTGGTTTTTCTAAAACTAATTTTTACTCCTAGTTTCTTCTTTATTAGGTCTAGGGAAAGGGAGGGATGGCTGTAACAGGTGGAAGAGTCAGATTCCCTCTGTGAACCCCTCTACCCTCGTCTACTTCCATCCATCACTCTCTCTCACAAGACAATAAGTAAGTGACAAACAGGTGAGAAAGGAGTCCTGTGTTCCAAAGGGGTGCACCAGGCAGGTGGCTGAGAGCTGCACCCACCGCATGGCGCCAGCACAGTGCTGATAGAAGAGCAGTGCCTCCCCTCGAATAGTCTCCACCTTACCAAACTGCCTCCTCCAGTAAAACTGCTGAGCATTGAGGAGGTCACGGTTAGCCAGCAAGTACTAGGGAATCTAGAGGCAATACACAGGACCTGGGGCCTGGGGCTGGGATGTGGACAGTGATGATTCATTAGGCTTGTTTTGCTTGGCAACTATAAAGGGAAAGGGAATATAAACACTGGCTTTCTGCTCTTTCTCCTTCTCTTCCTCCCTTAATGACTTTTCCTAGTCCTCTACCCTACTGTGGCCCCATCTGATCATTTAACTCTCCATTTATAGACGTTGCTGTTTTTATTTAACTTTTAAAATCATTTATATATTTAAATCAAAGGGGTGAATTCTCTCTTCTACCTTTGTCCCTATTTGCTTAGTTCTCATCCCCTAAGTGGGTAACAACTCTTAAAGTTCCTTAATTATCCTAAAACAATTCAAATATAGATTCTTATTATTTTCTTCCTTTTTTATACAAATGGTAGTATCCTATAAACATTTTCTAAACTTCGCTTTTTCTCTGTACCAATATTCTTAAGAGATTCTGTTCGTATCAATCCATGAAGTGTTCTCATTCTTTTTCGGCTGTATTGTGTTCTAGTTTATGGAGTATCATAGCTATTTAAATAGCTACTTACAAACACTTAGGCTTTTCCTAATCTTTTGAGATTATAAACAGTGGTGTAATGAGTAATATCATACTTATATCATTCTGCATGTATAAAAGAATATTGTCAGAAATTCCTGAAAGTGGAACTGCTAGTTTAAAGAGGATATGAATTTTGTAATTTTAACAGATACTGCTGAATTACACTGCAAAGAAGTTATAACAACTCACACCTTCACCCACAATGTATGATACAGAACTTGCTTTAAAATTATTTGTTGTATTCACTGAAGAGCCACAATCTCTGTCACCAACTCAAGACAAGAGAAGAGAGGAGAGAGGAAAAGAAAAGTGGGTCAGGGGACCAACCCAGTACAATATTAACAGCTAGTCTTTTTACTATGGAGTCTTCTAGGATATCCTGTGCTCTAAAGGAAAGGAAAATGTGAAAAACTCAAAATTATAAACTGTTTTAAGATTCAGGGAGAAAGGGGATGCCAGAAGTAGGTGGCTTTCTTCTTGTAAAGAGTAATAAAATCTGCAACTGATTAGCATCCAAATGTAAGCTCAGTAATACATATTCAAAGGTTTAACTGTTGAGAAGAATCAAACACAATATTGAACCAGGTATAAAACCAATGCTAAAATACTGAAGCAGCATGCTGTGGCTTTCATGGGCAATACTGATTCTGTTTCTCAGCAAGAGGCCAACCTGGGTCCCAGCTGGTCAGGACATTCCTTGCGCTTCCTTGTCTCTGCCCTGGATGGGTCAGAGGTGTTTTCTCCCATTCCACTCATCTTGAACACATATCAGCAACTAAAACAGAAAACAGGGGGAGAAAAAAAGTGAAAAGCTGATGATAAAGTTTACCAACAATTTACCAACAATAAAAGAACTTGACTTTAATCACAAACTTGACAACTGTAATTAACATTGATTTATGTACATGCATAACTTCTCATAAAAGGCTGCCTTTTAAAAAAATCTTTGCCTAAAAGTTAAGCAAATGTAAAGGTTAGCATTTAAAAAGCAAAGAAGCCTACCTCATTGGGTCCAAACTCTTTAAAAGGAGTTGTACTTCAACAGCACCATGAACTACGCTCTGCCAGTCCTGAGTTTCTGCGGCCGGCCTCCAGTTTCGGCGCGACCTTGCACCACGTAAGGGGCTCCTCCCAGCCTCTGTTTTGGGTTTGGCCAATGTGCGGACTGTGCTGCCGCAGCTCACCCGTGACAGACAGCCCTGCGATGAGCCAGTGCCACACCACTAAGTGAATGTTTCTAAACCTGACCAGGTGGATATGACACCCCGTCCTAGCCCTACACAAGGCCTCCGTAAGCAACACCCCTCAGAGGATCTTCCCACCTCCCTCCTGTCCCGCAGCAGCTGCCTCACTGCTCCTCCCTCCACGCGCTCCGCGACCTCCCAGCCCTGGTTTCCTCTCTCACATCCTGCTGCCCATAACTCTCCTGCCTCAGCTGAGTCTAGCTGCCATCCCAAATGTCTTACGATGCACTAAAAAAACAAACAAAAAAAACCCAGAGAACATTACTGACCCTAATGGAGGGAGAGAATTACTGGCTCCTGCTTGAATCCCTTTCAGTAAAAAAACAAAAGGACATATCATAAGAGAATCAGTGTGTTCACTCACTTTGGTCATCGTTAGCGGAATCCAAATATTTAAATATGCAAAGAACAAGCGTGATAGAGGGGTAAGTTCTAAGAGAACTACATAACAGTACTAGAAAAGATTTTGAGGAAAAGGAAGATGGTTGTTAACCCAAGGTGCTTAATAACTGCTTAGCAAAACAAAAAATATGCAGCCTAAAAAGTTTAAGTCAGCATTTAAAAGTCTTTGCTAGAGTTCCAACTCTGCAATTTACCCCTTCTTTCTGAGCCCTGCGGCTTCTAAAATCACCTTCCTTCTCCTTTATTTTCTGTAGTGGCTTTTCTTCTTTTGAGCTGGGGAAATTGGAGGGAAGGACCTATCAGCAGGAGGTCAAGAACTTAAGGAAGATGCTAGAAAATAACTGGTTCGTTAAGAGCAAGGACCAAGAGGAAGGTGGCCTAAGAAAACACTCTCCCCCACTCTGAGTGATCAGTTACCGCTGTCACATACCCATCACGCTGCCCAGCTCCTGCCTTGGTGGGACGTGGCAAGTTCAGGCTCACCACAGTCATTTCTTTTGGCCTCAGCTCTAATTTTTGGGGACAAATAAGTTAATTTTTTTGGAGGGGGGAACTCATGTGTAAGTACAGTATGAAACACTGTATCAGGTGATGGTGGATGTTATAGTCAGGAGGTCACACGGAGGGGACAATCCTGAAGGCTTATGCCTGAGCTTCCTGCTGGTGGGAGCAATGTAACCAACTCCCAAGGTCCTGCACTGTGGTCACAATTAGAGTGGATAATAAGTATAATCTGTATTTAGTTATTATTCATTTAGCACTCATTATGCACCAGGCAATTTAGTAGAGAAGCCAGTATCCATGTCCAAGCTCCACCGCTTGGATAGTTGTGAGTCTTAAGTTCCTTGTATGCCTTCATCACCTATTCTGTAAAATGGAGATCACTGGGAGCATCTACCACACAGGGGTGCTGAGCAGATTAGCAAGTGGCAGAAGTGGGATTTATACACAGGCTTACACACGCATACTCCTAATAAAATACTATGGAATAGTGTTTCCTCATCAAATCAGTCATTTTCCTTTAATCACGCAGTCAAAGGTCAGGTGGGAGAACCAGCTAAATCTGGACTGCATGTGCTTCCCAGGCTTGGCTCTTTCCCCCTCATCAAAATGTCATTGATTCAATCAGAGACTGCCTGTTTGCCATTTTGTAAGTCACGTTCAGGGCTGAGAGGAGCATGAGGAGGAATACTGCTCTCAAGAAGCAAACAAGGGGAGAGAGGAAATATATGTGTATAGAGGAAAAGCCCCAATCAGTAAACATGGGTGGCATGCACTCCTCGACACCATGAGGGCCAAGAATGCTGCACCCTGCGCTGGCTGGGATGGCGGAGGGGCTGAGCTGCACCTTGAGGAAGGCATATGAGTTCTAACAATGGGGAGGGGAGCCAGGGATTGCAGGCGGTCTAAAAGGACAGAGGGTGAAACAATCACTTGACCACCAGAACTGTCTCAGATGATACCTTTCCAATATTTTCTTTCAGTATTTCTCTTGGAACCACAATTCCCATGGTTTCAGTCATCAGCATGTAAGAAAAAACATTGCTTAGCCAGTCTAAGTAAGCTTTCAACAAATGACCTAGGGAATTTTCACTGGGGAAGCAGCTTTCCATAAATCATAAAAATTTAAGTAAATTTTTATCATCAAAATATAAACCTCAATGGAACCCTTCTATGCTGTTGGTGGGAAATGTAAATTAGTTCAACCATTTTGGAAAGCAATATGGAAGTTCTCAAAAAACTAAAAAAAGAAATACCCTTTGACCCAGGAATTCCACTCCTAGGAATTTACCTGAAGAAAACAAGATCCCGATTCAAAAAGATTTGTGTACTCCTAGGTTTATCGCAGTACTATTTACAATAGCCAAGACATGGAAGCAACCTAAGATTCCATCAGTAGATGAATGGATAAAGATTCCACATAATGGAATACTATTCAGCCATAAAAAGAAAACAAATCCTACCATTTGCAACAACATAGATGGAGCTGGAGGGTATTATGCTCAGTGAAATAAGCCAGGCAGAGAAAGACAAGTATAACAACAAAGCAAAACTGAAGGAACAAAACAGCAGCAGACTCAGACTCCAAGAAGGGACTTGTGGTTACCAAAGGGAAAGGGGTTGGGGAGGGTGGGGAGGGTGGGGAGGGACGGAGGGAGAAGGGAATTAAGGGGCATTACTATTAGCACACATAGTATAGGGGAGTCACGGGGAAGGCAGTTATAGCACAGAGAAGACAAGTAGTGCATCTATAGCATCTTACTACACTGATGGACAGTGACTGCAATGGTGTGTGTTGGGGGAACTTGATAATATGGGTGAATGTTGTAATCACAATGATGCTCATGTGAAACCTTCATAAGATTGTATATCAATGATACCTTAATAAAAAAAAATATATAACCCTCCATATATAACAAAATGCCTTATACAGCAGTAGATGCAATAAGTTTGTTCATGAAAATGGCTTTTCCCCCCAAAAGTATCACTGTTGTATATTAAAAAGCAGAGTATTATCAGAAAGATCAGGAAACTTTCAACAATTAAAGTAAGTGACTGAATTTCAGGTTTAACATTAGCAATGTCTATCTTTAAATGTCTCAACATGTATATTCTAATAATTATAACTTTACATGAAGGGACAGAACTGAAGTATTTCAACAAAGAGACTAGGAGATAAGGAGTGAAGCAAGGAGCTATTATTTTCTGGTCCAACCAAGTTCGGTAGAACCCTTTGAGCACACTGTTCATATTTTACATGTATTTATTCAAGGCTGGCTCACAAACCACTCTATTTGTAGTATTAAAACATCACTAATTTCCTCTTGAAGTAAGTTATTTGAGTGCCCAATTTTCCCTTTTATTATCATGTGATGGTACATTAAACAATATTTCCTCAACATCTGAAAATTTCAACCTTATGAATATGCTTGCTTATTTTTCTGTGTCTACCTCATGTCCCCTTTTCTGAGTGATTTTCCTTGGCCATGTATACTCAGCGCACATTGCCAACCAACCTTTAGACCACCAGAAGGAAAAATGGTGGGGAGATCTGTAGGGACTGGCCAGGTCAGGGCAGGCAGACACACTGTGCCTGCCACGGTGATGCCCTATCTCCATCACTGCTCACCCACCAGGGAAACAAAAGAGACTGCCAGGGGTAAAAAGGCAAGGGAGCAAATTCAGGGTTGGAGCAGGGCAGGCAGGAAGGAAGGTGGGGAAGCTGGTGATAGGCAGCCTCTGGCTCCTGCATGCCTCTCTCTTTGCCTGCCACAGGGCCAGAAGTAGATGTAATCCTGGAGCAGAGATGTGGATTTATGCTCTGCTCTTCAGTGAGTGAACAATTAATGAGGTTCACAGTTATTTATTGAGTTCATCCACTAAAGATGAACTTCTCTTTGAGATGCTCAAAGAGAAGAACTGTGGTGCTCTAATCTAGAGGATTCTGACTGATATTTTTAACACCCTATGTGAGGCTGGGCTGGCAGCAAGTGTTAGTATTTCAAACTGGAACGTATGGTGGGACTAGGTGAATTAATTTTTCCCCACTCAAGTGACACAGATAAAAACCACACATAGATAATCAGATTGATTTATGACCTCTAGTCTGCACTTACGCATAGAAAAAATCATCAAAAATAAAACTATAAGGACAGATGAGTTTAAATGTATTTTGTAGATTAAAGTTAAAAATTAATTCCCAATGAAAGGGTAAGAGATGGAAACTGCTGAAGGGCAGTATTGAAGGTTTAGACATTTTACTTGGAAGCAAGCCCAAGTAATAGTTTCTTAGACTTTCTACATGTTTTCAACGTTCACATTAAATTAAAATTCTTGAACATTTCACTCTCAATTCTGGAACTGTTCAATGTAAATCATAAACACTGAGAATGACACAAATAAATTCTTGGGTCATATCTAAGGGTAATTATAGTCACTCAGAATAAGCTGGTTTCTACCAGATGTTAGGGACTTGTATTATGTTTTCAACGTTCACATTAAATTAAAATTCTTGAACATTTCACTCTCAATTCTGGAACTGTTCAATGTAAATCATAAACACTGAGAATGACACAAATAAATTCTTGGGTCATATCTAAGGGTAATTATAGTCACTCAGAATAAGCTG